CGCTGGAAACGGAATCTAGACATGGTCTCGCATTTCTAGAGGAACAGATGGCTCCATTCATAGAAGCATCCACCATAAGAAAACATGGACGGGACAATACACACACTACAATAGCTTCGTCCCATTGCAACAGAAGAGAAATTCGATTCGCTGCTTCAAAAAAGAAATTAGAAACGTGGTTTATCGGACTGTCGAGTTAGAACTGGAAAGAATACGAAACGTTTTTCTAAATAATGGAAAGTCTGAGTCATTCACTAATAAAAGAATGACATCATATCCCTCATAAACAGTATGTGCCAGCAAATAAGAAGCGTGTCTATCTCTCCATCCCCTTCAGGTGAGAATTGATCTCGCTTTTCTAGATAATGGAAAACCTGAGTCATTCATTCATAAAAGCATGACACCATATCCCTCAAAAACAGTATATGACAGCAAATAAGATGCGTCTGTATCTCTCCATCCCCTCCAGGTGAGAAACCATCTCGAAAGCATACGGTAGACGGGATGAGCTCGGTTACTTGGTGGATAAGACAACTGATGATCCGCAAGAACTAGAAGGGAATATCTGTATGGAACTGAAAACCGTGGTGCAAGTGGGACTGATTCGAGAATCCGCGGTGAAACGTTTACGAACGAGAGGGAGCCAAACGCCACAGATTTACGGTTTGCCAAAGCTCCATAAAGAGGACATTCCATTCATTACGTCTACGCGCAACTCACCAAGACCAACAAAGCCAAATGGCTAGCATAAGCTCTAAATGCAATGCGAGACTCCATTCCCCACTACAATGTGCAAGACAGTTTCCAGCTATGCAAAATATTGAAAGGCAGATATATTGAAAAAGAACACATAGCTGCAAAGGCTGTGAACGCACGTCTCATCAGCGTCCCTCTATTGTAGAGAATCCAGATTATTCGTCATACTAGGGAAGGAAAGAACATTCACGTTGGATTACCAGCGAATGAGCTGGAACGGTTTATGTTGTCGTTTAACCGTTATGTGAAGTTCTCCTTCTTAGGACAACGATATACACATATGGTGTCACTATGATCAGTCCACTGAAGCCTGTTCTTCGGGCTATTTTCGGCGGACATATGGAACATCAATTTCGGGACGAATTTTAAAAGCGGGATCTATACTACCGGTATGTCGATATTATATTAATCATCTGTGATTCAAAAGAAAACCGGGAGAGATAATTCGAATGTTTGTTTATTCTTCATTTAACTTAACACAGCCACGCCACAATGAAACGCAAGCAAGTATCGTTATTCTGAATGTGGAAATTTCATGCCGAGCGGTTAGATCAATCAGAAGATCCGTTTACCGAAAAGATACATGCTCTGGAAAATATCTTTATTTCCCTTGCTTTGTTCCAATGGGATATAAGAGTAGCATACTTGAACGCTCTTCTACAGAGCGAGAGCGATTTGCTCAGCGGATACCCCCAATATTTTTCTTGTGAATCGACTCCCCTATAGAACCTGCGGTTCGGTAATAAAAAAGGACGGACGCGGTTCTAAATATATCTCATTCCGTATCGACAAATTAAATGAAGGTTCTATTTTTGAGCGAATAATAATGCATTTACTAGCTCCTGGATTCGGGAAAGGGAGAGTGGAAAAGCGGTTTCATTAATTTATCAGACTGACCAGTTTTCCTAAACACGTACATTGATCTTTAGAAAATCGTGAATTTATTGAGTGAACTGAGATGGTTTACACATAATCACTCACTATATGTTGCTGAGGATTAGACGAGCAATGAGTCCCAGGATTAGGAACGTTGACGGATTGTATTGTGACACAACGTCTGAAATGGATTATCGTAGGAGAGAAGAGATTATCAATAGGTTCAGATGTTTTAGTAGATCAGCTGAATTATATTGTTCAAACAATAGAGCACTTCTCGCACGGATTTTGTTGTACAAACAGCTGTACAACACACAATACGTAATAAACAGTTACGCCATCAGATACTTCGGTTTTGGAAATCTCTCTGACAGGTCTGATAAGTTGAACACTATAACTGGCCGAATTCGCTGCCGTTGTTTCTTTTCCAGCTTCTTTTTGGTCCTTTTCACTCAACCGTTCTGCACCTCCAGCAACACTGCTCGAACCAGCTTCTTCCTCGTTAGCATTCTCTGCTGATTCTTTTTCTGAACTGGACCCCTTTCCTTGTTCATCTAGTGATTCCGATTTCTTCGAATCATTATCATCTTTAGGCTCTAGTTTTGTTGTTGGTGCAGGTGTTCTCGTAGCTTCCGGCGTCGCTGCTGTCGTAGGTTGGATTCTCGCATCTGAACTAATCGTGTCGCAATCCGCACTCGCCCCGATCGGTGAGCTGGATGTCAACTGAATCGTTAGACCTGATGGAAAGAGTGTTTCCGATTTCCCATCACCAGATATCTTTACGCATTTGCATCCACTCGTCATCTGCGAAAAAAATAAGATTATTGGAATGAGTCCTTCGATGTTTCGGCTTCATAGTCTCAGGTAAATTCGTGTGAGTTGATGTCCACCTAAATTACTAAACACCTTCACCACTTTACCGGAATGCGATTTGACACGGTACTGAAAGTGGGGCAATTGCATTTGTCATTTCAGACGTGTTATGTTATCTAATAATTTATCGCAGCAACATCGGAACGAAGAAAAATATTCCCATAAACGCTGTATGGTTGCACATGTGAAGTCCATTTTGCCAAATGAATAATGCATGAGCTAGGACCTATCCGAAAATTTAGGCAATATTTATTTGACTGAGTTGGGCCAGAACGTTTGTCTGTATGTAGGAGGTCTATTGTGACAACACACAACACTAAGTTGAGTCAAAACTACCGGGCTGTATACAATTGGTTGTCATTTGTAAAGCATTATCTAGAAATAAATTATGGATACTGAAAGTGTCCGGCATTATAAAGTGAGAAACATTTTCTATTACTATCAGTTCAAATTTTTGGCGAGCAGCATTTTTCCAACGGTCCAATTGGAGTGCTCACAATGGAACTGAATCTTCAATTCATCTGTACGACCATCGATGGTGCAATTATCATCATAGGTTCTATGGAATGAGAGGAACATCCTATAAATGGGTTGGCAAATAATAACTGCGTGAGGGTAGGATAAACGTTTATGCAATGTTTCAGCGTATTACCAATACGAGACAGGGGATCACTTTTAGATCCGTTTCAAATTCTGCTGTTCTGGAGGTCTAACATGAATTACAATCTCATAATTGCACACGAATATGTGATGGAATTTGGTGGACGAACAAACATAAAACATAACATCTCATATGTGATCAATTGGTTTTGTAAACGAAAGGTGTTATTAAATGCAGTGAGAAGTTAGTTAATCTTCAAAGTCCAGGACTCGCTGAAAACTGAAGCAGAGTGTACACAGTTAGAAGTGGGCACCAGGAGCAGCTCCGAGGATATAGGAGTCATGACGAATGTAGACTTCAGCTGAATTACGCAATGTAAAGTTTCAGCTTAAACAGCTGGATGGGAAGAACTTTGACCAAGGTTTGCGCCTGCTGATAGGAATTCAGAAGTATTGCAACCTGTCTTCAAGATGAATGCAAGGACTTTTCCTGACCGTTATTCTTAGGGCTGTTCTCCGCTCTGCAAAATCAACGTAGCTTCCTCGATCAATATCGAGAGCTTTTCATCACAGTTGGCTTGAAGTCTAAAGGTTAAGCGGCGATTGTCTTTTTCTCACAAGAAAGGACGGGGTCGGATGGAAACAGCAAAAAAGTCCTAAAGTTTTAGGAGTTTATGTGAGGACTTGCTCTGGAGACTATCATATTTGAGCCTGCTCACCGAAAAACGTGTGTTTATGAGCTCACAGTTATGAAACAGCTTTCTAGATTAACGAGAATGCACACGTTAGCAGCACCATTACGCTAAACGGATAAAATAAGCGACCGGTTGTATTGATGAACTTGCTGAGTGTCCAAGCTTTTAAAAGAGAACTTATACTTGTATTTGTATCGGCATAACTTTTGCAAGCTGATATATGCTTACATTTCAGTTAAAAATTGTGCATTGGTCGTCAAACGGGTGAAAATATAGAAGTATGAATGAATTCACGTAAGCTGGTTTAAAGTGTTTATAGTAGGTTCGAAGTGTTTTGCCATATGTTGAACGCCAATGCGGCGAGAGATTGCAAGCACCGTAGTTGAGGTGTTCAACCAACGAGATCTATACACAACGCTTTGGTGTTCATTGAACGGTGAACGCAATTTCCCGTAAGCAGCTGAAACTGTCTATGTATTATGAACTGTTGTTTATAATGTCAGTAAGTTTGTTCTTCTCTTTGGTTTAAATCAGTAAAGGGAACAGTATTTTCCAGTTTTACGCATACGGAGATTCTGTAATTATTGGTGACGCTTTGAGGAGAAGTCCCAGTTGCACCATAGTTTTACGAATTCAGTTTCCTCCCGCGAGGTGACTACGAGTTATTGAGAC